GCCAGATGAGGTGGCTCGGGCATCTAATTAGGATGCCTCCTGGACGCCTCCCTGGTGAGGTGTTCCGGGCATGTCCCACTGCCAGGAGGCCCCGGGGATGACACAGGACACGCTGGAGAGACTATGTCACCCAGCTGGCATGGGAACGCCTCGGGATCCGCCAGGAAGAGCTCGAAGAAGTGGCTGGGGAGAGGGAAGTCTGGGCTTCCCTCCTAAAGCTGCTGCCCCCGCGACCCGACCCCGGCCGGATAAGCGGTGGAAAATGGATGGATGGATGGATGTAAATTTCAAAGACAATGCGTAGGACAGATATTGATAAAAATAAATTAATAAAATAATGGTGGTTGACTGGTTAGCACGGAGTTTGATTGCTGTTATCTGTTTGTGAGTATGATACTTGTAAAAAGTGTAACTTAATCGCCACCACGGAGACTGTGATTATTGATTTAGGAGCAAAACTGAGAAGTGTTTAGCAAGCAGTAGTAGGCAGCCAAAGCTCGTTGCTCAATTTGCTATATCTAGCTGTTACGGCACCTCGCCTCAACCTGATGAATATTCATTTGCAGGTGACATAAGCAGCCCAATCGAAGCTCCGCGTTCAGTTATTGTTATTATTATTTTTTTTTTCGTCGTGACTCCAGTAGCCGCACACCATCGTCTGTGTGTGTATGTGTGCTCAAGCTTCGGAGACACGTAAATCCAAATCAACACTACAACGGTGGCACATATCTAACAGTCATCAGACACTTCCTTTGAGTGTGTGAATTATTGTTGGTCAGGATGTGCCCTGACTGAAAACTCAGCATTTTTGTTTTTCACTGTCACACAAGTATTAACTCAAATTGACCACCAAGTGGCATGTGGCGGCTAACTCGTCAGTGGTTAGCCAGCTTGTAACTAATCCAAAATGCCTACAACATTACTCAGTGCTGCATCCTGTCAATCAGCACAAAAAGATGGACTGAAATGCTCTTGCATATGTATGAACAAAAAAGTGAGCTATTGTGTCAACACCGCCTAAAATGCGCTCCCTTAAAAACAAGAACTTAATTCAAATTTGTGCAAAGACCAAACAACAACAGGACTAGATGAAGATCTGTTGATGAAACGCTTTACAAAACAACAGACTCGTTTCATAGTGATGTCTGACATCTTCGACTTTTAAGGTGGTCATTTACTTCTTCTGCTAGAAATTAAAAGTACCGTATTTTCCGCACTATAAGGTGCACCTAAAAGCATTCAATATTCTCAAAAGCCAACAGTGCACTATAATCCAATGCGCCTTATATATGGTGTTACAGTCTTTTTATATTCCCTTATTGAGTTGTTTTCCTGTTAGTGGTCCTATGCCAGGAGTCGGCAACCCAAAATTTTGAAAGAGCCATATAGGACAAAAAAAAACAAAAAACAAATATGTCTGGAGCCGCGAAAAAAATAAAAGCCTTCTATAAAACTTACAATGAAGGAAACACATGCTGTATGTATGTAGGAGACTGGACTGTCTCAGAATTGTTTATGTTATTCATTCCTTTGTTGTGTGTTCACAAACGCCCCCAGAGAATTTATTTTGTGATTTCCTTGCTTGATTTTTTGTTTTGGTGCGTTATTTTTGCTTTATTAGTGTCAGTGAAGTGATCATGAATTTACGTTTTTCGGAGGTTGTCTTTGAACGCCTCTCGAGTCGAATGAGAAGAGAGAAGGCACGGAGTCGGACGCAGACGTGTCTGTGTTTGTCGAGACTGTTAAAAGCATAAATAAAGTGTACGTTTTAAAAAACCAACACCACAGCTCTCCTTTTTCGGAGCTGCAACATGTATTTATATCTATTTGAGTTATATTAGCCTACTATCAAAATCTTTTTCCATTTTCAAACATTTTTTTTGTAAAGCTCCAGGGAGCCACTAGATGACGCTAAAGAGCCGCATGCGGCTCTGGAGCCGCGTGTTGCCAACCCCCGTCCTATGCAATCTCGTGGTGATTAGGAACTAATTGTAACCTAAAAGGGTTCTGCCCGACACTAATTTACATGTGCATTCGCTAACAGTCAAACAGACAACTACTTTGTGAACTCTGCGCAGCCATTATGAAACAAAGATAATATCAAAAGCATAGTTAAGTACTGACAAAACCAAGGAAGAAGGAGACAAGCAAGACTTCAAAGGACATTTAGCCCCTTGTGGATGTGAGCCCACGAGGTTGGTGTGCCTTTTTGGTGAATCAATTGTCTTCATAACTTTTGTCCTTTATTTATTGTTTTGTCATTTCATTTGTATTTATCCCAAAGAATAAACCCTGTATTTTGATGGACTTTGTGTCATGCTTCAAGCTACATCCTGAGGGAGCTACATATGGATCAATATTCTGATTTCTTGGATGTAGTATTTTAAATGTTCTGTAAAATGCTTTGTTACAGCTGCAGCGGTTGTGAAAGCTCTGCATAAATAAAGCTGTATTGTATTATATTGTATTGTATTGTGTAGCTCCATCTAGTAGATGCATAACACAACCGCAGCCAGGGTTCTACATAATTAAAGATTTCTTGTTTTGTATTCCCTTTAGCATACCTCCATCTTGTGGATTCCGGATAAGCGGTGGAAAATGGATGGATGGATGGATGTAAATTTCAAAGACAATGCGTAGGACAGATATTGATAAAAATAAATTAATAAAATAATGGTGGTTGACTGGTTAGCACGGAGTTTGATTGCTGTTATCTGTTTGTGAGTATGATACTTGTAAAAAGTGTAACTTAATCGCCACCACGGAGACTGTGATTATTGATTTAGGAGCAAAACTGAGAAGTGTTTAGCAAGCAGTAGTAGGCAGCCAAAGCTCGTTGCTCAATTTGCTATATCTAGCTGTTACGGCACCTCGCCTCAACCTGATGAATATTCATTTGCAGGTGACATAAGCAGCCCAATCGAAGCTCCGCGTTCAGTTATTGTTATTATTATTTTTTTTTTCGTCGTGACTCCAGTAGCCGCACACCATCGTCTGTGTGTGTATGTGTGCTCAAGCTTCGGAGACACGTAAATCCAAATCAACACTACAACGGTGGCACATATCTAACAGTCATCAGACACTTCCTTTGAGTGTGTGAATTATTGTTGGTCAGGATGTGCCCTGACTGAAAACTCAGCATTTTTGTTTTTCACTGTCACACAAGTATTAACTCAAATTGACCACCAAGTGGCATGTGGCGGCTAACTCGTCAGTGGTTAGCCAGCTTGTAACTAATCCAAAATGCCTACAACATTACTCAGTGCTGCATCCTGTCAATCAGCACAAAAAGATGGACTGAAATGCTCTTGCATATGTATGAACAAAAAAGTGAGCTATTGTGTCAACACCGCCTAAAATGCGCTCCCTTAAAAACAAGAACTTAATTCAAATTTGTGCAAAGACCAAACAACAACAGGACTAGATGAAGATCTGTTGATGAAACGCTTTACAAAACAACAGACTCGTTTCATAGTGATGTCTGACATCTTCGACTTTTAAGGTGGTCATTTACTTCTTCTGCTAGAAATTAAAAGTACCGTATTTTCCGCACTATAAGGTGCACCTAAAAGCATTCAATATTCTCAAAAGCCAACAGTGCACTATAATCCAATGCGCCTTATATATGGTGTTACAGTCTTTTTATATTCCCTTATTGAGTTGTTTTCCTGTTAGTGGTCCTATGCCAGGAGTCGGCAACCCAAAATTTTGAAAGAGCCATATAGGACAAAAAAAAACAAAAAACAAATATGTCTGGAGCCGCGAAAGAAATAAAAGCCTTCTATAAAACTTACAATGAAGGAAACACATGCTGTATGTATGTCGAATGAGAAGAGAGAAGGCACGGAGTCGGACGCAGACGTGTCTGTGTTTGTCGAGACTGTTAAAAGCATAAATAAAGTGTACGTTTTAAAAAACCAACACCACAGCTCTCCTTTTTCGGAGCTGCAACATGTATTTATATCTATTTGAGTTATATTAGCCTACTATCAAAATCTTTTTCCATTTTCAAACATTTTTTTTGTAAAGCTCCAGGGAGCCACTAGATGACGCTAAAGAGCCGCATGCGGCTCTGGAGCCGCGTGTTGCCAACCCCCGTCCTATGCAATCTCGTGGTGATTAGGAACTAATTGTAACCTAAAAGGGTTCTGCCCGACACTAATTTACATGTGCATTCGCTAACAGTCAAACAGACAACTACTTTGTGAACTCTGCGCAGCCATTATGAAACAAAGATAATATCAAAAGCATAGTTAAGTACTGACAAAACCAAGGAAGAAGGAGACAAGCAAGACTTCAAAGGACATTTAGCCCCTTGTGGATGTGAGCCCACGAGGTTGGTGTGCCTTTTTGGTGAATCAATTGTCTTCATAACTTTTGTCCTTTATTTATTGTTTTGTCATTTCATTTGTATTTATCCCAAAGAATAAACCCTGTATTTTGATGGACTTTGTGTCATGCTTCAAGCTACATCCTGAGGGAGCTACATATGGATCAATATTCTGATTTCTTGGATGTAGTATTTTAAATGTTCTGTAAAATGCTTTGTTACAGCTGCAGCGGTTGTGAAAGCTCTGCATAAATAAAGCTGTATTGTATTATATTGTATTGTATTGTGTAGCTCCATCTAGTAGATGCATAACACAACCGCAGCCAGGGTTCTACATAATTAAAGATTTCTTGTTTTGTATTCCCTTTAGCATACCTCCATCTTGTGGATTCATAACGCAACTGCAGCCACTATTGTAGCTTCTATTCTATGCACTTTATAATGCAGTGCACCCTATATATGAAAACAGTTTTAAATTGGCCATTGACACTCACCTGTCCCCAGGTTGTGTCCGTTTGATTTTAATGATTTTTTTTTCCAAAAACAAAACATGCCAGTTTATGATTAATTGACTTCAGTCCAACTCTTCCAACAGACAATTCAACTAAAAGCAATGTTTACACGTGCTGAAAAAAAACAATGAAATACACCAGATGAGGAGAGAGGCAGAAGAGCTGATGGTTCGTTTTTACACAGTGTGTGTGATCAAGAGTAGTGTTACATAGACAACCAACTGTTTCATTCAAAAATGAATACCATTACACATGCAGAATAATCTAAATGTATATTTTACAAGGGCCAGCATGGCAAATTTTGATCAATATTTAATATAACCTATGACTAAATTGGGAACTATTAGCCACAAAGGTTTCAAATTATAAATCGAACCCTTTTGTTAGATGGGATTAGTTGCCCTGTCACTCATCCACAGGTGATTCCTTCTAAAGCTGATCGCCAAATTGGCATATTTAACTTTTAGCATCTACTCTTTTATGATAAAAAAACCCTAAACTGCTCGTTAATTATGCCAACTTTACAATGTAATCAGAAAAGTGGGACCCAAAAGTACCGCAACTGTATCATAAACCTTTAGCCACGCCACTCGAGTGAAGCGCGACTCAGCAGTCGATAGTCCGCTGCTCTCTGCTGTGCGTGCGTCAGCGCGAACATGTACGCACGCGCGCGTCTTTTGGCTTCAACCAATCGGTGCTGACGCAACGGACGTTACACATCAAAGGGCTTTGATCTACGACAACAGCTAAGCTAGCCTAGCCACGAGAACAGCTAAGTTAGTCAGTAACAGTACAGTAGACACGACGTTCGAGGTCGGACGGACACGTTTTTCTGTCGTCTGTATGTTTTTCTGTCTTTTCTATCCAATGTGTTTATAAAGAGACTAGAATCTCTTTAAACCCACTTTAGTGCATCTGTGGACAATAACTGTGCAAAGACTTACTAGTCAGTGCAGGGGTTGGGATGGAGCCAAGATATTAGAAGTGTTGGCTGATGATTATGTGATCTTGAGTATTATGTTTATTGTATTTTGCCAGTAGCACTATATCTGATTAAGATGGAATATATTATCAGAGTCAACTCAAATAACCAATTTTGAATTATCTAAAAACGCTCAGAGCAGAAATGCTGAGTTATATAATACTATATGCCGGTGGTATATAAGTACTGACAGGCAGAAAAATGAAATGTTCTCCCATTAGAAGGCAAAAGGTACAATCCAATCAGTCTGCGTCTCCAACTATTGACATTCATCCAACAAAATGAGTGTCCATTTTTTTTCTCATCGAGCAATGCATAGACATAGTAACTATCGTGATGGACTTACATACAACATAAAATTAAGAACCAGGTATCTCACATTCAATACTTTTTTAAGGTATTATTTCCAAATTCATTAATGCATTGCTTTTAAGACTTGTTTTTAAGACCACATGTGGAATCTGGGCATGGTATGGGACTTAAGACAGTTTACTTGCTTGAGAGGTGGGTACATTTTTAACTGATCTTTCATCAGTCAAAGTACATCTATTTAGAGCGTTTAATTCCTCATGTAACAACGTACATATTTTCGAATAGGCCAACCACTCCAGAGGCTCCAAATTCATTAAGAGTAATCAGTTAATGTATGAACAATGAATGGTGTTTTTAATAAAGAAACATACCTGTTTGACATCATAGGCAAAAAGAACATACTTCAAGTCAGGGGACACAGAGTACTTGGCCACATTGAAATTTATCTGATGGAAAGGGAGACAATATGGCGTCGGATTAATACAGAACTCTAGTATAACTGTTGGGTCACACCCCAAAAATATAGATTTGAGTCTACTTACAAATGTTGTGTTTGATAGGACAATCTCTGTTTCGTTGGAGAGGATGTTGAACTTGATGACATGTCCATCACTGTTTCTATAAATAACTTCAGAGTCTGTGGAGAAACAAAGGGAATGAAGAAAAAGACAATCAAGCATTCAGAAATAAAGACAGTTCTAATACTTTAGCTGAAATATATTTAAACTCAATCGGGAAAAACATCATGTATTGTTAATTGTGTCATAAACAAGCATTTTTTTCCCCCGGCATCACTATTCCCTGCACTTATTGAACACAGTGAATGACAAGCACCTCTCAGGCTCTTGAGAGACTGACACTTGATGTGAATGTGTACAAAGCCAAAGAGATTTAAGAGCCAGACAGCACAAAGGGCTTCTCCCTAAACATTTCATCTTCAAGGTAGCGCAGCGCTGATGGAAAAACAGCTTTGTACTCGGATGTACTCCTTAGGAGTGACAATATCTGTGTTGGATGGTTTCAGGAAGAGTATAATAGTGAGAAACCAACGAAATAAAGGAAGAGAGAATTTTAAAAAAATCACAAATGCTTCAAACTGCATACAGCATGTTAAAAAAAGGTGCATATTTCATTTCAAGTTATTCAGTACACCACAAGTGATTGCTGTCTGACTTTTAATTATAATATTAGCACATGTAAATGAGGTGACTTAATCTAAATTCTCCTCTCCTTGGATAAAAACAAGAAGCTTTTACACTAACAAAATCAACCAGAACAAAGCCTGAGGAAAGTGCGGGATGGAATCCCATCAGCAGTAATTGAAGTCATTATGTCATACATGCACTGTGCACAAATATGACAAATGGGAAAATGGAGCCGACAATGATTGTTGTCAATAAAGCACAATTACAATGACTGCACACAACTTGAAATTTGCAAAATCAATGTGAATGCACCGCAGCTTGAAATATCCAAGAAGTGTCCAAATTCAGTGGGCACGTGCTGAGCCTGAGGCCTGCGGTTATATCCACTGCTTTTGAGAGGCATGCACTTAAAAAATAAATGACCTTAGAAATGAAGCCAAACATTTTAGTGTACATACAGTATGTGTACAATATGTGTTTTATGCACCAGTAATGATAACCTGTAACCTGATAGCATGGTAGGCTGTCCAATGTAGTGACCGCTGTCCCTGAAAGGGTTAATCATCGAGCTGCTTTTAATGTGAGCAGTTATCCGTTAAAGTGCAGAGCAAACACACTACTCTGCATATTATTATATCTGCATATGTGTTTGGTGCATATTCACCAAGACATCTGCTTAAGGTTTTTTGTTACTTTGGTTTCCTGTGGTTTTCAGGCCATTGTTTGTATACTTCAATTTAGTTTTTTCCAGTGTACTCCTGTTTGTATTTTTGTTAAATACATCTTGGTCAGTCCACCCTACTACTCCTGCCTCCCTGCTTTTTGGGTTCCTCCACCTACCACCACGCAAAACCTGACAGAATGATCCAAACAAGACTGGGCCCCACAGGACCAGAGGCCTGGTCCCACTGCCATCTATTCCTGTTCAAGTGTTGCGGCCGCTCTCCGTTCCTGTTCCCGGCAGCACAAGTGTTGTGGCCACCATCCGTTCCTGTTCCCAGTGGCGCATGTGTTGCGGCCGCCCTGCGTTCCTGTTCCAGGCGGCGCGTGTGTTGCGGCCCTCCTCCGTTCCTGTTTCCAGTGGCTCATGTGTTGCGACCTCCCCTCCATTCCCGATCCGGGTGGTGCAAGTGTTTGGGCCGCCCTCCGTTCCTGTTTCTGGCGCCACAAGTGTTGCAGGCCCCGTCTGTTCCCGTGTCTGGCGGGGCAAGCCCGCCCCATTTCCAACAAGTCAAGCCAAGCCATTGGGTGACTTTGGGACGGACGTCTCGTATCCGTCCCTTGAGGGTGGGGTACTGTTATGTTTTTGTTTGGATTACATTTGGTTTTGGTTCCTCATGTGCCCATTTTGTCCTGTTCTTGTCATCCGTGTCCCTTGTGTTTAACCAATCAGCTCCCTCAACTTTTTGTGTTTCTCGTTGTTTTTGTCACTTTGCTTCTATTTAGTTCCCAGGGTTCTGTCAGTCTTTGTTGGATCATTTGTGTGTCTGTGTGCCCCTGTCATGTTTTGTTTCTGGCTTATGTTTTTTGTTACTTTGGTTTCCTGTGGTTTTCAGGCCTTTGTATACTTCAGTTAGTTTTTTTTCCAGTGTACTCCTGTTTAGATTTTTGTTAAATACATCTTTGTCAGTCCTCCACCTACCACCACACAAAACCTGACACAGGTGTTGGACTACCCTGAATTACCCTTTTCAGATATGGAATGTTCTAAACAAGTGTTCTTTGAGCACTCCTCAACTTTCTCAGTCTTTTGTTGCTCCCAGTCCTTTTTGGAACACGTAGCAGGCTCAAATTTGAAAATGAGGGAATATTTGCTCAGAAAAAAACACTAATGTACTCAGTTTGAACATTAAATATCTTGTCCTTGTAGTGTGCACGTTACATATACAAAGTTTCAAATTTAAAGCATTTAAAACAAAAGAAGACATTCAAAAACAAAGTATGTAAATAAATGACAGCTTCCTAAAATCATTCAAAGAACATGCAGCGCAAGGAAAAGTTGATTACAAAAATGCTTTTAAGGAGCTCAATCACAATACCGTGTTACAGGAATTTAACATACAACAAAAGATATAATGAGAGAACAACACCAGTGAAAAAATATCCTACCGACGGTGTTTGCTTCATTCAAAGCAAGTCTCCAAAAAGGATGAAGGCCGACATGTTTTTGCACACTTGCCTGCTGTTAGAAAAATTCAAGTCAAATTATGACAGAAAAATTAACATTTAGTGCTGATCAAACAGAACTCCTTCCCATGATTTAAAACATCACCAGCAGTCTCTGCGCTGCACGGCACTTGTCTTCTTAAATAATGGAATGTCTGTACCTGAGAAAGAACAAGCTAAGACTCTGATGTATAAGTAATGCCCAACGTCTGTAGCCCAATGAATAATGAAATCTCTCTGCACCGCTTTTTCTTCCTCAAGCCTACCCCTGCAGCTAATTGAGCTTGAGCTTTGTAAATAGTTACACTGCATACTACTTGCTCCCGCTGTATTTTTTGTGCGCATTAGAAATGTTTGATTATGAGATGTGAACAATTGATGTGGTTCTGACATGCAAGTCCATCCATCCATAATGTAATGTTTAGGATTACCAAAGATGGAGCCAGCTTGCTTGAATTTGAGTAAGGGCAAAGGTAAAATCTGGACTGGCAGGGCACACATGTCAAATTTAAGATCTTTTCATTCAAAATCCATAGCTATGAGAACTTGCCATTTGATATGTACTGTGAATTACATGTTTTGGAATCATGATCAATACATTTTGAGCTGCATTACTGTCTTATAGTCACTTGGCTTATCACATATATTGTGTGGGACTCTTGAGACAAATATAGCCACGTACAGACAATCCTCAAAATGAGCCACTTGCAACAGTGACAATATTCAGTTTTCATTAACAAGTCCTGGTAATCCGGAGAAGAAATCTACTTCGTGGCTATTTGTCTCGTTAAAAGTACCACAAACCTGAAATTAATCCTTTCAGGGACAGCGGTTACTACAGAGGACAGCTTATCATGTTATCAGGTTACAGGATGCATGAAAGGGTTAATACTTGCATAAATGTATCTTAACAGAAATCAACTGCAGCTCTACAGTAATTTTCTGATATTAAATGCACTTAAGTATTGGAAGCAAACACATTAAAAACAATGCTTAGAATCTTGATTGTGCCCTGGTTCATTGTATTTTTGTCTAGTTTACTTCAGCGGTGTCATTAAATATATTAACGTTGACTACTGCGCTAAAAGTTAGCCTGGCCATCATGCTTGCCCTCAAAACAGAAAGAGAGAGAGAGAGAGAGAGAGAGAGAGAGAGAGAGAGAGAGAGAGAGAGAGAGAGACAGAGAGCGAGAGCGAGAGAGAGCGAGAGAGAGAGAGAGAGAGAAAGAGCGAGAGAGAGAAAATGCCCCCCGCCCCCTTCAGCAAAAACTCAGCTGGCACTGCTCATTCATTCGAAAAGTAATTTTTGCAAGAGAAATATACAATCTTTTACTCAGAAAAAAATGTAACACTAAAAACAGTACTGCTGTGCCATCTTACTTAATCTAAAATTTAACCTAAAAACATTCAAAATTGTGTTTGTGTGTTTTATCCATTTCAGAAAAAACATGTCTCCCACATTCCAAAAACAGGCACGGAAAGGGGAATTGGAGCACTCTAACTTGTACCTAGGTGTGAGTCTAAGTGCAGGTTATGCCCTATTTCCGATTCGCTTTATCCTCACAAGGGTTGCGGGATGTGCTGGAGCCTATCCCAGCTGTCTTCGGGCAGTAGGCGGGGGACACCCTGAAGTGGTTGCCAGGCAATCGCAGGGCACACTTAGACGGACAACCATCCGTGCTCACACTCACACCGAAAGACAATTTAGAGCAGTGGTTCTTAACCTGGGTTCGATCAAACCCTCGGGGTTCGGTGAATCGGTCTCAGGGGTTCGACGGAGCCTATGCCATGTAGGGTAAGACACACCCAACTCACATTACATTGCTTGTCCAATCAGTGCTTTGGAAAATTTTGTTCGCTCAGTAGCCAACTTGTGACTGTCATGGTAGTACGTAGTACAATTTAAAAAAAAAAAAAAAAAAAAATCTCTTGAAATTGTATTTACTTTTTTCTGTTTAATAAATGCATTTTTTTTTAATATCTTGAATTTGTAATAAAAATGTATATATATTTATTTTTCACTAATGAAGGGTTCGGTGAGTGTGCAGATTAACTGGTTGGGTTTGGTAGCTCTAAGAAGGTTAAGAACCACTGATTTAGAGTGTTCACTCAGCCTTGCCACGCAGATTTTTGGAACGTGGGAGGAAACCGGAGTGCCCAGAGAAAACCCACACAGGCATGGAACAACATGCAAACTCCACACAAGAAGGCCAGAGTAGGAATTGAACCCTTTACCTCTGCACTGTGAGGTCGACGCGCTAATATAATATAAACATATACAATGGAAAACACAGTCATCTTTATTTCACACTTTTGTCTTCTGCAGC